ATTGATTGATTGATTGATTGATTTGATTGATTGATTGATTGATTGATTGATTGATTGATTGATTGATTGATTGATTGATTGATTGATTGATTGATTGATTGATTGATTGATTGATTGATTGATTGATTGATTGATTGATTGATTGATTGATTGATTGATTGATTGATTGATTGATTGATTGATCGTCGGTTGATGACATCCTCTATTTCGCCTCTATCACACTTGGGGTCCAACCACTCGCCTCAGAGCTAACTTGAGTATTCCAACCATTCGCTCTACAAACCCGTTCATCCGGGGCGCCTTCTCCACATTGAAGTTCCAAGAGACCCCCTCATGGCTCATGGACTCCATAAGACCCGTATCCTGCAGCAATCATGAGATTTCTCCGATTTGCTCCGCTGCTCTCTTGTATGCACCTGCATTGTCAGAGAACATCGTCTCTGGACATCCACGCCTTGCCTTGAGCCGTCTGAAACTCATCATGAAGTCGGTGCTATCGAGACTCGTCAGCAACCCCAGATGAATTGCTCTCGTAGAGTGGCACGTGAAGATGCAAATCCAAATTTTCTTTCTTTTGTTCTCGTCTCCGACAAATACCGGGCCTGCCACGTCCGTTCCAACATGGGCAAACGGGGCATACATTGAGACTCTCGTCTCCGGTGGATGTCCCATGCTCGTCGAAGCCGGCTTCCTGCAACTCAGGCATCCGAAGATGATCTGGCGGAGCAGCTGGCGAGCTCGTGGAATCCGGTATCGCTTCCTGGACTCGACCAAGCATTGCGTCGCACCCGCATGACAGAACCTCACATGCAAGTCGGTCAAGTATAACTCGGTCGTCCTATGGCCTGGTGGCAGGATTGGCGGATTTTTTACCACGCCAACCTCCCCCGACGCACAGCGGATCGTTTTCGATGAACGGCCTCAATGAACGAATCTTCGAGTCCAGAGGCATGGTCTCCTTCCTTGCCGCACAACGAACCTCATTCTGGAAGCCCTCCTTCTGAACCTCCCGGACGATGACTATCTCCGCTCGATCCAACTCCCCGGGTGTCAATTGACTTCTGGCTTGTTCCCTCCCTATTCTCCTCATCTTGCAATCAATGGAGCGTTGCACGATTGCGAACGATCGTTTCAACTTTAGCCATCTGCCGAGTCGATCGAACGCGAGAACCGATTTCAATGCTGGCCGCGCACTCACTGTCGCTGCCATCAACTTCGGCGGCTCCGGTTGCACCGGCCACGTTGACTCATCCTCTCTGATGAACTTCGGACCCGAAAACCATATCGAGGTCCTCAGCTGTTCGATGTTGCATCCTATACTCACTAAATCCGCTCTATTCAACTGACCGGGAATATGCCTTACTACCGTTGATCCAACAAGACGTTGGAACTCCTTCACCCTGTTCCTCACGAAGAATGGTAGTTTATCTGGCTGTTGAGTCTTGACCTGGTAGAAAGCGCTGGTGCTATCAGTCCACGAATGATACTCGTGTACTTTGAACATGAGCTGATCTTTCAAGTACGCGTGTGTCTCCGCCGCTAGCACGAGTCCGATGAGTTCCAGTCGCGGTATTGTAGATTCGGCGCGATCTTCGACCTTGCTAGAAGGAAGCTCGAACATCGACTCCGATCTGTATCCCTGGTGACCGCGTACGCGACCAGTCCGCATGCGATGATGCTTGCATCGCTGAAGATGTGAACGATATTGTTGACTCCCTCCGACGTTCCGATTCCCTACTTTTGGGGAATTTCAACGCTGTCCAGCCGAGAGATATCTTCCATTCATTCCGCGACCGCCTCCCGTATCGAAGGCGGCACCTCATCGTCCCATCGCATCTGTGGTATCGTATATACCGTGTTTCCCGAATATAAGCCAGGGCTTATATTCGCCAACTCCCCGAAAAAAGCAGGAGGGCTTACTTTCGGGTAGGGTTCATTTCAACTTATGGAACGAATCGGAATGACAACAAAGATCCGAATTCGACTAATGACCACGATGATCGTCAATCGTATACGACAATCTCATCCTCTTTTGTCACGTCTTGTTCACAATCTAAATCTAAAATCTGAAGAACCCCCTCAAGCCTCTGACTTTCGATAGCAGAGCGAGCCCTTGGGCCGAGACGCTCGTTTTTCCCGATGTAACTGTCCTCGAAGGCATGACTTTTATCGAGATAGCCTGCGCGGAGAGCATTCGCGACACACTCATTCAGAATCTTTCCCCAAGATTCCCTGACCCTTGGGACAACTCCACTCAGAGCGGGTTTCACGGAATTTCCCCGCATGTTCCTCTGCAGACGGTTCTCGATGAAGTCGTTGACGTTCCAGCGCAGATAATCTTTGAATGGTTTACTTATGGCCGAGTCCAGCGTCTGAAGATAACCTGTCATGCCAGCGGGAATCATGATCTGATCAACGC